ACAGGCATGGAAGGAAGCCAGGCAGGCATCACGCTGCAAGGCTATTCAGGATTCTCGGGAAGAAAACGCGCTTGGCATCCTTTGCCTGGGTGGAATTACGAATTGCGGGCGCTTCCAGAGGCCCCTCCTGAGGCTCAGGTCATAGCGGGTTCCTTGTCTCGTCACCACCTCGTGAGACAGACGTTCATGGACCTACCCTACTTTCTGAGTCGCAAAGTTAGCTGGCGGGCGAGCTACAAACTTCGGAGTGGTGAGGTACGCGGGAGAGGTGAACATCGACCGCGCTTGCTAAATAAATAATTCGGTGACGCAGTTTCTTCTCCGCGCGCTTCGCGGTGGGTTCCTGAGGCCGACCGCACGGTGGCACATCCTCAGAGCATTCCTAATTGTAGTTCTCTCCGCGGAAAAGTCCAGGTGGTCTTGGAGGGATGAGAGGAACAATCCACCCCGGTACTATGGAAGAAAAACACTCGACGTCCGGAAACGGTTTTGGAGCGCGTTGCAGTCATCCGGTCGTTATCCACGGACGTTTTCCGTCCGGAGTCGGGATCCAGTATTTGTTCTGCCGAGCTTCTGCGAGACAGCGGAGGGAATACTGTCTACATGAATATTTGCCTGGAGCCAGTAAGCGAGCTCAGAAGATGGTACGAGCTGCAGGATGGGTGCAGGGATACTATCAGTAGTCCTTAGCATAATGTAGTCATCCGTACTTCTGAGCAGATAACCCCGTAGCCATGCGAGTTTGTGAGACAAGCGGATGTCGTTCAGCTCCCCTGAGCTCGGCTATGAGATATCCAACGTTGACGACTCCGGAAATCATTGCCTTGTGAGCCCGACAACGGCTGTCAAACTCCTCGAACGTCTCAGGCATCTCGGGTTGATGGGTCCGAGTGGTTCCTTGAAGTTAGCTTGTCTCCATCTCGGACTCCTACACGGGATCGAGGGGCTCATCGTCCCGATCCCCTGAGTTTTAAAGGATCCAATATCTATCTGGAGCGAGAGACACTTTCCTATAATTTGCGTGATAATCGTAAATCTTCATTTCGGCCCCCTTGAAGAGATTTTTGGTCTGCGAAAGCATCGGATCGAGAGCCCTTGAGTTGGCAGTGATTGTTGAAACGATTTTAACGTATAGAGCTCTTGAATTGAAACGCTACTGCGGAGAGCAGAACGAAGACAGATGCTTCCGAGACAGACGGCATTAGCCATTGAGTTGGAACCCGACTGTTCCGGGGCTCGATCGCAGACGTCCGTCTTGTCTGTGGCGTCCATCACCCTGCCTTATTAGATTTATCTCGCATGTTTCACTGGTGACCCCACCTGTCAAAACTGTTTCAAGGCGGCTCTCCCGTTGTTTCACGTCGGGAAAAAACGGAAAACGCGTCGGGGCCATGTGCTTGGACAACGAAAAACCTGGAGTCTTGAAATATCCGGGAAGCGAGCTGGCGCGACTGTCCCGGAGCCTGTACGAAAATTTCGACGGAGACAGCGCGGGTCGGAAGGCTGGTGAGTCTCATAAAGGGAACGTCTCTTGGCAGATGAGACTTTCCAATCAATTGGGGAATCGATTCCATTCCGTTACAGTCTGTCGGCTCTGACGGTCGACTGTCCCCGAACGATTTTTAATTGCAGACCTCTTTGCGATTCCTTTGCCGCGTTCCCGTCCCAATCGTCTGGCCCTCTGTTGCTCGGATGTAATTCCTCCCCATTCAAACATTTGTCGAGTGTTTTATCGACAGGACGGAATGAATTTCCGCCGAGACAATCGGCTCTAACGGCCCGAAGCCATATTAGCAGTTCCGCACGCTCAGCGTGTTTCCCCTAATTGAGAAGGCATTAGAATAACTTTTCCGTCGGAGTAGCACACGGAGCTTCCAATCAAGTAGAGCTCCACAGACATTCTTTGCTGTCGTTTGCTGTTTTTCTTCTTTAGCCTCGTCAGTGTCGTTTGTCTGCCATCCTTGCGGGAGAGGAGGGAGTGAGGGGGAACGGAGCGGACGACGTCAACGCGGAAGGGAATCATCCGTCGTGTGGCCGAGGATTCGACGATTTTACCGTCTCAGATACGGGATACGGGGCGGAGATATTCGGGGGGAGCGTAGGAATTTAGACAATGCAAAAGGACCGTTCATCCGGGAAATTATGCAGCTTAGAACACAGTGATTTCACCCGTCCAGACGCGTTCATCCTCCGGCAACAGTGAGACGGAATCTTCAAATGAATTCGATCAAGGTACGGGGATCGAGAGCGACATCGATCTTGCACTCGATGACACGGGGGAACCCGTCGGGGAAGCGCGGTAAAAATTGATCACCTTTTTTTCGCAACCGGTCGGTTCGAATCCCAATTCGGCTCCCGGATCCTCCTCCCAGAGTATCCCCTCAAAACGTAGTCGATGGTCACGAGGAATAGGGAAATAGCTTTGCGTCGGCTTCCTCTCGGTCGCGAGACAAAGGCAGGGCGAACCATAGCGCCCCGTGTACTTCTTCATTCGAAGTTTCCTTATTTCCGCTCCGGGTGCGTCGACGAGCAATCCCGGCAGTAAAGGAATCACCCAGGTTCCAGCGTGACCCCCGAGGAGAATCCTGAGCCCTCCGCTTGTGACACGCTGAGCGATGTTCAGACGACGACCTCGAAACTTCTCCTTACACACTGTTGGGCTATTGCTCACGTCCAGCCCCGTCACGGAAAGCGTTTCCGGAAACCTACTTTCAGTATGTTCCATGGGTGGAAGAAAGTGAGGCAAGAAGGACAACTATCTGTTACGCTGACGTCCTAACGCTTTCGACTTACTCTCGAGCATCTCCAAATTGCAAACCTGGAACCAGAAAACTCTGACCGGGCGCTAACCATGGGGCCTCCGTCCCGCTGAGAACATCAAGTAGTGATCACCTGCGCGTCACGAATGTCGATATCCGTCGTGAAACTCGCATCCGACGTGCAGACTTGTCGGACAAGATATATATTCGTCTCGGTGCATTTCTCTCGGAAAATGCACTCAGGCGTCCATTCGATGGGCGTCCGACAGCCCGTCTCGTGGTGTTGCATTCCCTCCGAGCTCTCTTGTTGTGCGAAATGTAGAGCTCGTCTCTGAACATCTCCGGGACGATTTTCTCCTGCTTATCCATCATTGCATGGGATAAATCTCAGCTAATCCCCGGAGAGACTCCTCTGCCTCCCAGCCCTCGTTTGAGACGCAACTCAGAATCTTCGTCATAAACTTCATTACATATACCTCGATCGTAAAATATGTCCTACTTCCCCTGGTGTACCTGGAGGAGATCCAAAATGGGCTGGAAAACATTTTAGTAAACGGAACGCTAGCCTGGCAATAGCGAGACAGGAAGCGCTCTGCGTAATCGAACTGCTTGTCGAATCTATTCGAATATTCCCGCAATTAAATGATCCCATGGTCGCCTCATCGGTACTCCTCGGAAGTCTGCTTTACGATGCGCGAAACATTCATGCTCCGCGCCACATCGTGCTTGAATCATGAAACCAGTCGATTGCGTGCACAGCAGAGGTGCTCGGTGCCAATCATCGCCCGTTTGACTGATTCAGCGCTCCGACCGGATAGATGCGTCGATGTTCGATTAATCATTGGAACTAATCAGTGCCCACCGTGGTTATCTCTCGGTCGGCGTTCGCAATCTGCGTTGCAGTCGCTCCTCCGACCGAGCTACCCGCCGGCGCTCTTCCCAGCCTGCTGAGCTGATGTGAATTTTAGAATATATTTCCACAGCGAAGCGTTTTTTGGCGCTCGTGGCGATGCGAGTCACCATGCGTGAAATGCATTGTATTCGAACTCATCGGGTGATAAGACGGCGGCTTACGCTCGAGGGCAACGCGAAACGCGAACTGTATGAATCTATAAACGCGTCGACAATGAAGCTCCGGGACTGCATATGCTGCGTGGGCGCGTCTCAGATTCTAGAATGTGCCTCGTGGGACTTGCGAATCATATTCATCCCCGAGAGCTGTTCCATCGCGAATCCCGACGATCATGAGCACCAACCACAACTCGGCCGACCGAGATTTCTCCTTCTGGACCTACGCTCTGATGAATGTGCAACTTCTTCCGAGGATTCATGAGACCCTTTCATTTCGGGGGCTTTTCCGAGGACTTCCGAGGACTTCTCGCTCTGAGAATTCATCTACGACGTGACGGCGACAGGTGTGCATGCACCAATCGTCGGGTCCGGCTCAATTCAACCCCCGGGGTATTCTGCGCAGCTGTGATCACGAGTAGGTCCCCATAATCCCCGCTTGATAGATGAAGGCAGAGCCGGAGAAGATTTCATGGATTTTCGGGAACAAAACTACGCAGTCCTCGATGCGAGGCTCCCGTCGCGTAGCTGATAGGCTTCATCCCACAACCAGAAGTGAGTAGTAAGCCGCGTGGGGAGAGAATTAACGAGCGACAGAGGACACGAACGGGAGAAAAGTTTCCTCAGTGCAGAGCTAAGCGAGAGCTCCCATTTTCTTAGGACGGGCGTTTTTGGGGATATGGGATGGTGAAATCTTCCGGTGAGTTTGTACGGACTGAGGCCGACGCAACGTCCCGCTCCGAGAATGTGCGCGACTGGTCGGAAGATCGGGAATCTCCTTGAGCAACTATTTCCTTGCGAGCTCAGAGGGATCACGGACCGCTTCGATCCGTGAGGACTTTCCGTACACGGCAAATCGAGAAGTGAGGGAGTGGGTGGTGTTTTTCTCTAACTCTCTCCCATTCCTTCTCTGCGGACCTCATCACCTAGTGGACGATAACCGAATTACCGGTGACTTTCGCTCAGGACAGATTCTCTCAGAACGTCTCAGAGTCGAAGTCCTTTCGTTTCCCGAACCTTTCCAACTCCAGAGTTCTCTCGCCTGGCTCGAATTGAAAACAGCTGCGCCGTGAACCTGGACAATATCTCGTTCAAGAAAAAAAAATGTCCTGTTCCGTTGTCAGCTGAATTGTATTTACAAGATACGCCCACTTTTCTCCACAAATGGTTTCATCTTACAGGCAGTTGGCCCTCCGCGAAAAAGTGTAGAGCTCGGAATTCCCTTGTCGCTCCTGGTCTTTACAAAGTCACGGCGCCGAGAGCGATCTCTGCGAAATTACATCTTGCTCCGAGCTGCATTGTTCTCTTCGAAAATACCGCTACCACGATGATACATTCTTCGTACAGGTGAGATGTCACTATACACGATGGGTTGAGGTGCGACTTGAGACTCGGCCCTCGGAGGGCTCCCTTGGTTTCGTCGAGCGTTGCCTCAGACATTCGAATCCGAGTGATTCCGCATATGACCAAAGGGTCTGGGAACGCTCACTCGGATCGCCTGTAGCTCTTCCTGAAAATTTAGACGCGGATCAGAGTTCGCTTCGAAAGACCGGCGGAGCGGCATCGATGAAGATACCTCCATGTCTCGTCTTCCTTGCCGAGCACCGAACCGCTCGAAAATGATCTTGAGTGACCGAGAACCGCGAAGGCACTTTCGCCGAATAATAGACCGCCCCTTCCCGGGAAAAAAGCTAGACCGTGAGCTAGTTCGGAGATAGAATACTGATGAGAGGCTAATGAAAAAAACCCGGCGAAGAGTCCAGGGATTCCGGCGACGTCATGAATGCGGATTAGTTCCGGATGAGGGAGCGAGGAACTAAGGAGAAAGAGCCGCCGGAGAATTCCACAATTGATAGCGGTCGGATCCGCCCACAGGCTCGAGACATGGGTTCCAATCTTTCGGAGCCATATATAGTACCTCATCCTGCTTTACAGCAGAATCTCTAATGTCCCGCCTGCTGCGAATCTGAACACCGCCACGAGCTCTCTTCGATCGGCCGACGAGAAACTACACGATGCATGAGGATATGGAAAAAAGGGCGCCCCTAGCTCTCTATCAGTCTTTTGTGCGGGGCTTCTCCATATATTGTAATTTATAATTCATAATTATTATAAAGGGCTGCCGATCAATTTGAAATATTATCTATCCACAAATCTTTCTCGAATTGAATACCGAATCCCTAATTCGGGGCGACGAGAGCAGAGTTCTCCCCACCGTCGAAAGTGAGGTTACCTGTATTGGCACTTCGTCGTCATCGTCGTCGTCCTCGTCTTCTGACAGGGGATGCGATGCTCGGGGTCTTTCGATCGGCAGATGTATTTGGGGGATTTGGAGCGGGAGATTCCCTGGACCCATAGTCACCGTACCGAGAGGTGGCGTGATGTCCTCACAGTTTGTGGTTTGACTGTTCGTCACTCCTGCGAATAAGGCTGTTAAAGCTTCCTCCGGTTAGACGGCTACCGCTGAGCATTCCAGTCTGGCTCGTTTCTCGTTTCCATCGCATAGCTGACATTCCGGTTTTTATCCAGAGAGTCGTCCATTCCAAAACATTTTTCGGCTGGCCGCCTGAATTTCCATGCGGAAGGACGATCGGAATAGCTTCCTGCTAGGACGTAGAATCGAAACAAACGAACGAAAACGAATGGGGAAGATACGGGCAAGGCAAGTGTCCTGCGTGCGTCATTACCTGAATGCCCAACGGATGAGTGTCGTTTGCTGAGACGCAGAAATCGGTCTCTCCGGACGAACTCGTCGTAGATATGATACAATCTCGCTTCGTATCGCTCCTGTCTAACGTACTGCAATGATCGTTGTCCGTCAATATGGTATCATGCGTACACAGCTTCTGCCATGTCATTCCTGATGTCGTCTTGGGCCGCATCGTGTCGATGGCTGTTCTGTCGGACTAGCTATAGCACAGCGAGTGACGATGTTGATGGTGACCGATAGACCGGCTAAAACCATGAACCAAAAACGTCCATCGACAATCTAGGAAACACAATATAGCCCTGATACCAGTCTTATAAATTGATGCTCCACCCTTAAAGCAAAAAGGTCCCGATCGGCTTGGAGCAGCCCGCCGGTGGTCAAGCCGGTGTCCGCTTGACCACTTCGATCGGTCGAGGTCGACGAGAGCTCCTCAATTATTACAACAGCGCCGTCTTCACGAAAAAAGCCCATAGAGATGCGAATCAGGATTCCTCGCAGTCGGAGGGCTAAGCAAATCTACTAAATGCGATGTATGCATCGTATCTGTCAAGGGCGTAGATGCGGCGACCTATTTTGATTCAATTGTTGCCGGTCTTTGTTCGACTGATGTAGACGTAGCGGTTGGAACCGCGGTCGCCGCGCAACGCTTTCTCGCGGTTCGACAGCCCTGCTGCAGACGTCACCACGGGAAAGAAATCATGTTGAACTCGTTATCACGATAACGTTCTCGGACTCCCCACCGCCGGATCAGTCAAAACTCTTTCCGAATGCTGAATCTGATGAATTCCTATCTTCTAATGGGAAATTACGCGGTTATTACGCTTTTATTGATCTCGACGTCATTCAAAGTCCGGAGACTCATCCTTCATTTCCATCCCAGCCCGTCACCATCACGTCTCCGAACGCATTAGTGATGGAAAGGCGAAATCGGCGCAATGGCGACGAAGGCCCATCGACAGCGACGTTCCGGGGAGGCTGGAGCTCGACGTAAATGATTTCGGGTCTCTCGGCTGAGGGTGGGATTCCTAACGAGACTTCAAAGGAGAAAAGAGGAAACGCGGCGAACGGAGTGTCCCCCAATTAGGGCTCAGTGCAAGAGATTTATGCTTGATCGCGCCGTTAGTTCTAGTCTCCGACCCAGATTCATGATGTTTACGTTTGCCCGATCTGATACAGCCGGCCAGGCACTCTCAAACGGAGCAGAACAACGTTTAATGGACTGTCTCCTCTGCCTCGTAGTGATAGAGTCTCTCTGGCTCGCGGCGGACTCTCATAGCATCGCCGCAAGGGTCGGCTGTTCCTGTCACAGAAGGTTACGTCGACCGGGGCGGTAGCGACGCAATACTCGGAACGGCGTCGGGGACGAGCGAGAGGAAATCAGCCGCCGGCATAATAATGGGTCGCTAAGCGATGGACGCGGCGACATCGTTTCTGGCGGAAGCATCCTGAGATACCTACGGCCATGAGTCTCCGCAGGAGCGCGTGTCTGACCGACTTGAGCACCCAGACGGATCGCACTCATAACTGCTGAGTATGCCGCCATAAAGCAGACGAACGTCCAGACGAACACACAGCGGACCTCCCGGGCCCCGACTGGAAGAGACGCTGTGGACTGAGGCCATAGAACAGGGATTCCCGCGGGATGCTCCGTCCATAAAGCATCGAGAGGAACAATTCTGAGCGAGCAATCATGCCAACGCTCGAACCGAAAACGTGATTTATAGGATCGAGTGAATTTCCGGGACAGAAGCGACCCTCACGATGGAGAACGCAACTGGCGTGCCTCGCGTTTCCGATCGATCAAACGCAGCGTGAAATGATGCGAACGCACGCGAGGGAATTCCTTTGCAGCTCTAGCGTCTGCTGCTGCGCGGGGGTCGTGGAATGAGGTGGGGAGGACGAGGCCTCGAAGACTTCGCATTTAGGGTCAGTCAGCGAAATTTGAGCGATGGGACGCGTGGACCTGACACTCGAGAGGCGTTTCGGGTCAATTGAATCGCACAGCCGTCGGAAGCTCCACGCAGTATCGCTCATTCCTGGGGAAATCATCCAGTCCAAATGACTAGAAATAATATCGACCGGGATACTGAAATGTGTCCGTTATCTTTCCTGTTTGTCGACCTCCTGGCTCCGTCTGGTCCGTAGGGACTAAGGATTCTAAACGTCGGCAGCTCTGTCTTCCCAGCATAGCATGTGTCTGACCGGCATCAACTCCCGGAGCTCTAGAAAAATATACAGAATGCTCTTGGATCATCCTGATTGGACCTTGAGTCTCGCTCGTCGTACACGGTGAATTGCTCTGCTCTGGGACTTTCTGGCGATCCGAAAATGCGCAGCAAGGATCCGGGGTCGACGAGAGGAGCCGTGCCTGGCCTGAAGATACATCATTCACATCACGGAGGGTAGTTGGATGAGATAGGCTTTCAGAAGCGGTTTCAATGTCGATCTCGGCCAGGGAGAGCGAGTCGGCTGACGTTTCACCGCGGCGGCGGACCTCAATAAGGTCAGCCGGAAAGTTTATCCGCTCTCTAGTGGGACGGGCAGTGCGCTCTCGAAGCTCTCAAAGGGCTTGAGTTGAGCGTCTGCCCATCAGCATCTCGTCCGTTCTGGTGGAGTTACCGGCGTTTAATGCTCCATCAACTTTGATCCTTCTCTTGCTCTCACTCAGACTTGCAAAACGCAAACCACCTAAACAACTTCAGCAGGCGAGCCTCACGACTCGACAATGCAACCTACTCCGAGTGGGGCAGAACGATACTCGACGAGCAGCGCTGTTACCCCGAGAGGACTTCCCGACGATGGGACGACTCGGTATGCCTCCGAGTTGCGAAGAACTTTTGATACGTAAGCGTCACTATCGGAGTCAGCCGCACGTGACGAAAGTTTGAAATGTCAACTGTACATATTCGAGCGATCTACCCGAGATTCAGAATCTACACTCGAACCGGAGGCTTCTCCGCTCTACTGGGCAGGTCGGGGTTTGATACTGAGTCCGCCCTCTCCGGTTCCTCGTTTATCGGCTTCGACTCATTTTCGATGAGATCCTGACTCAATCGACAAGCTGAGTAAGAGGGCTCTACATCTATGCGATAGCCCACAGGGCTGACCTACCTTAACGAGAGCTACTGCAAGTGCTAATGCGTATAGAAGCAGCACAACGATTACGTAGCCAACTGCACGGCTTCCGCTGTTGGCGTGCATTTCTTTTATTTGAGCGTGAGCGGCGGCCAATACCTGCAAACATAAAGGCTATTTTACTCCGCTCGAGACCGGCTTCCGAGATTGAAGTCGGTATAATTATTCGAAGAAGGACACGTTAAGGCAAGTCTCGATCTTGAGTCCCCCTTGAGCTCTTTATGGAAGGAGAGGGAGGGCAGAGAGGGGCGGGGAGGCGTCCTTCTCGCCGCCCCGACATCGAACATCTCCGCACTTCGATGATCCGAGAATGAGAGGAATCTACTGCCGATGTCAAAAATTGGTGCTGATAGGGTGATCAATCCGAAAATGATCGGCTGAGCGAGGCTGGTCGTTTCAATACGCGGCAAGCAATTAACGACCCTGGTTTGTTCGTGAACAAAGCTGCACACTTATTACGGCTAGGCTGCCGGTCACTCTGTCTGTCTGACGGTCAGTCTGCCATTCAGTCACCCTGTCACCGAGTGAGCCAGCGTGCATACTTGAGTGCTTTGCCTAATCGTTCATCAAAGCTCGCCTTCTGGCTAAGACGAAAGACTGGGACTCAGGGATGAATGCAGTTCGGGCGTGCCGAGTACTCGGAGAGGGCTCATCCTCGCTCTAGGTGCGTCCATTGATGACGAGACACGCAAACCGTCCGACAGGAAGATTCACCTTGGCTGTAGCGTTCTGCATAGCTCCGGAGCAAAGCACTTTACTTAGAGTTGCGGCGGCTGGAGCTACCGTTTCAGACGTGGCTACGGCAACGGACATCGCTCGACTGAACGAAGCGAACCTCAGATGTCGTCACTCGGCTCTTCCTGAAAGGACGAACGAACGTCTCGTTAGCTTGAATTCGCTCCGACGATTCGGATATCGCTCGTTCCGGGGAACTGCAGAGGCAGATCACGGGAGCCCTGAGTTATATGCATAAGGACAAGGATGAAACGCGGAGCACCGAATCAGCTCGGAAAGCTCCGCGAACAGGACCATGGGCGCGAAACAAAGTCGGAGGGCTGTCGGCGTCGCGTCATGTGCTCGATGGTCGGAGTTATACCCGACCGTCTTCTTGAAAGGAAATTAATCGACCCCAATCTCTACTATACTCGCCTCTCACCTTAGAGTCAATGAATTGATCCCGTATATTATTTGGAGTTTCTCCCTCGGGGAGAAATTCCCATTGTGCTCCTCGAGCGACCCCTCCGGCAACAACCGAATATCGAGTTTCTACGAAAGCGGCTGTTGTACACACCTCGATATCGGATGGCGCTACAACACTTTCAAAGTTGAAGTCGATTTCCTCTCGGACAGGACTCTCTCCTCGCCGAAGAAAGGCTTCAGAATCATGCGTCCCGTCTCCTCCAGGATTTCCGTATGTGTTGTTCTACCGAGGGAAACTCCGATACACCCGGTGCCACTCCGGTGAATAAGCATGCTTCGGAGCCTCTCCGATACGCTCAAGGGAGTTCAAAGTGTGCCCCACGACGCCTGTCCTGGTGTGGGTGACAATCAGGTCGGATTTACTCAAAGATGCCGGCCACCTAATATACACGCACATGAACCTGCGCGAGATCGAGGCGGGAACGAGCGAGTTCTTTCAGGTGGACTCGAGCTCCGACAAAAGCTCGAATTTTGACATTGTTTCAGAGCTAAAGCGGAAGAGCCTCGCGCTCAAGGGCGTACTACATAGCTACATGACTCTGAGGCTGGAGCCTGGGGCGGCAGATCTTCGATGGGCGGCGGATTTTCGGCCGCGCGAGCGTTTTCTGCTGTTGCCGACAATCGTCATCGCATCTACGTGTCGTCGGATCGGTTCATTCTCATCCGACGCAATGGTCGGATCGGCGGCGAGAAGGGCCTCTCGGAAGACCGGCGAATTATCATTCCTGAACAGAGTGTAGATTTATTGTTTGAGTTGGCAGTCGCGAATATCCGTGAGGAAAATTGTGTTGAAATTCTTCCGCGAGAAGAACAAAACTTGTATATGAAGGTACATAATCATGCATATTAAAACGATGGAGCTTCTCGTGAACTGAACTTCAAGGGTGTCATTCGGAAGGGTCAGGTCGGAGCGGCAGTCTTAGTCAGCCTATGAGCGGAAAATTTCTGAATACGCCTGCTTAGAACCCAAGGTCGGGCTGTCGAAATTGCTTGCTACTCGCCGCAGGTTACCGGTTCGGAAAAATAGCCCTCGAGACTCCAGACGCTGAGCACCGTCAGAGGCAAGGCCCGTCAGAGCCAAGCTTCGAGCGATCGTCCTTCCAACCATTCGATCTCGAAGTCTTCTCTCCTCAGACAGTTCTCAAGCCCGGACCTTGACATCTTGAGGGAGGGACCCTGTCCGGTTCCGCAAACTCAACGGATCGCCTCGATTATGTTTCGACTTGACGACAGATCCCATCAAGATGGGGAACTGCTCCGTTTTAAAACGATTCTCGATTGTTTACGACCTTGGCAACCGTTATTTGTTGCGGCTCTTGTCTTACAAGATCTAGAACGTGATATCCGACCCGCTCTGCGGCGCAAAAAGCGATACGGCTAGAATTCTTCGCAAGGTCGCTCTGACCGACGTATCTTCCTCTCTGTCGGCTCGAGCTTCAACTACGTAACAAGATCGGACCCGCAGCTATTCCCGAGCTTGTGATGTTTCTTGTTCGCGTGATGATAACGGGAGCTCGCAGAAATGTTCCCCGATCGATCTGGCGGTCCAATTAGGCGACAAAGTGAACAACAAGCCACGCTGCGAAAAAATAGGAGGCCGCGGACTTGCTATATTGGATCAGAGATTTGGAAGATGAAGCGACAATAGAAATGCTCCCTCATGGGTGATTGCTGTGCGATTCGGCGGAATAGCTTCCGGCATTGAACTGTGGTCTTGGCACTAAGATCGCCACGTAAAAAATCTTCATGTCCAAATCTGCCGCACTCGTACATGCAACTACATCTCTCGCTCGCGATACAACGACCGCGCAGCGACAGACCGGTGATCGGATGCCCTTGCTCAAATTTTCTCGACCAGGGCTCCAGGGAAATTGTATTCCATGAAGTTCATCCTCCCCACGGCGAGGATCCCTGGAATCTTGATTTTTTTTAATTGGTTGGTTCTGCAAGGATCATGCTGCCAAGATGATCCTTGGAATTCGGAATTTATGGACTCGAATGAGTGATTCCCGGCTCATTCGAGTCATTGGAATGAGCTAGATGAGGAATATAATTCTCCCAGAGAAGAGCATCATTGGATGAAGATCCTAACGCGGGATTTCCTCTAGGAGGCGTTCCTCGGTGTCTGTTACTCCAGCTGCTGTTTGCATTCACAACCTTGCCGGGTATGAACCACAGGCCCCGAGCCGTTGATGGCTTCCTCCAAGTGAAACCCCACATAGAAATTAGAAATCGATTTTCCATCAGGTGAACCGTTGGGAACACTCTCGTGCAAAAATGACTGCTCCTTGGACTTCAGGGTAGAAGTTCCGGGGAAATGCTCCGGAGGGAAACTCTCGCAGCGGAAGAAGAAAAAACAGAATCGAGAACGCTCTGGAGCTTGGCCTCGACGGGATCGAGAGTCATCCGTTTCAATGCCTAACCGACGAGAAATTCTGTACCGCCGCTACCGCCAACACCGATAAACTTTTCCCAGGCGACCGACGTTTTGCACGTTCCTTCCTCGGCTATAGAAGCGGAGATTGCTCTCCTAGCTTGCACGTGAAAGGGCAGACGGCTGAGCCATCGAACGATCAAGGATTCAGGTAGTGATGATAATAGTTTCCCTCCCGGAGACGTCCCTAAAGGTTTGAGAACTCCCTTCTCTGTGTGTGGCGCCTCAGACACAAGGATCGGGGTGAACTTTCGCGAAATCTGAAGGACTCCACCAACTTATTTGATGGATGACACCGCTCCCGCGGGAAACGCGTGGGAACATTGAATATGCGGGAACATCTCCCCCGAACCTACGGACGGAGCTTACGAGGAAGGATTCCGCTTAGCGCGAGTCCTCTGGGGAGTCTCTGCGGGAAAGCAGCTGTCCGGAAAGGACGAGGAGAATACCGTTCCGCACGCATAAGGAGCCTCAATCCGAGTGTTTTCTCTTGTACGCTGTCGCCGCACCTGTATGCGACGTTCGATATAGCCTCGCTCTTCTTCTGAGGCCCTTCGGAATTGCGCCATCGACGAATCCACACTCCACTACAATATTATTATATGGTTGATACAATATTATTATTCCCTTGACAAATGGAGAGCGGATCCCGCCTCTTTATTAGGAGTATCAGACTAAGACTCCTATTTTTCTTCCGTTTCCCCTCCGACCTAGAACGTGAGCCGGGAATCTCCCGGCGGGCTGCCGCGTCTGGCGCAGGGTAGTTCGAGATATGATTCCGACTGAGCAGGTCTGTCTGCAGGCCTCGGTCCCCGATTGCTCGACTCTCCAACTTCGAGGTATTTCTGCCAGCGGCCCACCGAAAGCGGAGAAGAGTTTTCCTCCGACCGTCCGCTTTCAGCATTGCGCAATGATGAATCGTTCAGCGTTCGATGTCATCCCCGGAGGCAGATATTGTTGTCGCTCGGGGGACCTCAAGACTTCCCAACTTTTCGCTCTCATATGGATGTAGCTCGATCGGGTTCCTCTTATAATCGATCGGCTTTACCGATGTGGTCGCTGCCGACTTTCGTGTGGGTTGGGATCTAGGTTTCCACTCAATTCCGAAATCCGTCAGCACCACGGTCGTATCTGTCACTTCTCCGAAGTGAATCAATTTGTCGATTGAATTAATGGAATGGCGACGGCCTTCCCACACAGCGTTTGTTCCGGTTCGTTGCTGCTCATCCGAACGACTATTATGCATCCATGGAAGAGAGCTCGAGAGATGAGCGCCTCTTCGTCCACGCACCTCCAGAGTTCACTCGCGGAGTTGGAATAGAGCACGAAGTGCTTCACGGAGTTTGATGCCTAATTCAGATGTATCATAAATCGCCCATGATCGCATTGCCCGCCCTTTCCAAGCAGAAAGCCAGATTCACTCCAGGATGCCGCTTAATCAGGGCCCTTCTGCTCGATGGAATCTCCTTGAGGCGGTATTCTGCTCCGGTCGGGGCGGAATGTGCGGAGATTTATACGTATGAATCCGCTCGGACAGCGACCTGGAGACGAAAATCGAGTGGAGAACGGCTGGCCTAAAATTACTTCCTGCACAAAGCCATCGCCTCCTCAAAGGGGCCGGAAGTAACAGGAAAGAAAACACAAGTGTCGGCCATTCACATGACCTGCATCGGGACTCTGGACGCAGGTCATACGAATCGAGAGTTCCTGGAAGCGTAGCTTTCCCTCTGTCCTGAAGTGATGACGCGAACTCTCGGCCGTGAGGTTGAGAATCACGCCAGCGACTCATAACCCCACCGATTCCGTGGATATAGCTGGATGAGGGAATTTCCACAAGCCCTTGGCTCCATTCTGAATGTCTGAGGGGTAGGATTGAGTGGGCGCTGGCCGACGGAGACCTATCCTTTGAAGTGAAGCCGACGGCCACATCCGAACCGCTCACCTCTCCATGGAGAGAACGTCATCTTGAAGTCAAGTACGCTTCCCTCGGCCCTTGCGATGATTTTTGTGGCGATTGCCGAGCCGCTCAAATTGGATAACTCGAATAATTGAGGAGCGACCCGACCTCAGTCAGGTACCGCCAAGTCCACTGAAAGGTCAACCAGAACTCGATGGACGCATCGATAATTGTACATATGGTATGCGCGCTCGGATTCGATTCCATTGGGAGGGAGCAGAA